GCTTTGTTCAACAATTCATGAAACAATTCATGGACAATTCTAGCCGGTGGAAAGGAACTCCCTGATGCAGTTCGCTTTAAAAACCACACGTATGCTTTACGGCAGCGAGAGATTTGGAAGGAGTGTATATGTAGGGCAACTTACCCAATGCCTCGTTTTTTATTTTTACCAGATTTATCCACCTCAAAATTTCATTTCTGTGTGCTCCTTTCTGTACACACGTATATAATATGTGTAGCAGTACAACAATAACAGCTACGGTGGCCGCATGTGAAGTGGTGTACAAATGTGGGCAGAGCAGTAACTGGAAACATCAAGGGCACTTGACAACGGATTCTGCACTTTTTGAGCCCAACCCACCCCTGCCCTTAAAGATCCAAGAGAGCGGCCGGATTTTGGACTGACAGCATCAAAAAAATATGATGGAGAACACAAATCAAGAGACACATATTCTCTCGAATTTAGACAAACCCAGAACGAAGAGGGCCTAGACCAGCTTCCTTGGGCGGAGTTCTGAGAAGGACCCTCTTTTTCCCCGCGTTTTTTTTTTTTAAAATGTTTACTTATTTTTGAGAGAGAGAGTGGGAGGGAAGGAGCAGAAAAAGAGGGGGACAGAGGATCTGAAGTGGGCTCTGTGCTGACAGTAGGCCTCAAACTCACAATCTATGAGATCATGACCTGAGCTAAAGTCAGATGCTCAACCGACTGAGCCACCCAGGCGGCCCTGAGAAGGACCCTCTTGCAGAAGCATCTAACACTTCCATCTTGTGAGGGCTGGTTGAGACACCCGTGCCTGGCAGACAGGAAATACAGGGCCTTGTCAACCCCACCTCCGCCCACCCACATGTTTTCATGGCACTTGAGAGAAGAGGAGGGGATTCCCAGGACTGCGGGGCCAGCTCCATTACTTAGGGGCCCAGGGCAAAATGAAAATTCATAAGAAACCTCTCATTCAAAAAGCAGAAAGGGGGGCGCCTGGGTGGCGCAGTCGGTTAAGCGTCCGACTTCAGCCAGGTCACGATCTCGCGGTCCGTGAGTTCGAGCCCCGCGTCAGGCTCTGGGCTGATGGCTCGGAGCCTGGAGCCTGTTTCCGATTCTGTGTCTCCCTCTCTCTCTGCCCCTCCCCCGTTCATGCTCTGTCTCTCTCTGTCCCAAAAATAAATAAACGTTGAAAAAAAATTTTTTTGAAAAAAAAAAAAGCAGAAAGGCATTAAAGACACACACACACACACACACACACACACACACACAAAGATTTTTTTGTCTTTGTTTTTGCAGTCTCGCTCTCTTGACCCATCAGAAGTTTTCCATTTGTATTTACTGTCCTGCTCCTTCAGGTGCAGGGATACTCAAGGCCTGAGTGTAGACCTCACAGGCCAGGTTCTCCCTCCTGCCAGCCACTGGACTTCCACTCTGCGTGCCGTCCAGGAGCAGGGGTGTAGAGCCAGGCGTTTTCTGTCCCCACGGGCCTGCCGCCTCAGCCCGCAGTGCACAGGAAACCATGGGGTGTTGGGACACAACTATCACCTGGATCCAAGTAAGAGAGTCTTGCCCTATCCAATCACCCACTGCACATGCCGTGGTGCAGCCCACCTGGGGAGTGGACAGCCATTGCCATGGCCCACCCCAAGATGTGTGGGGCATGAACCTGACCTTGACCCTCCCCATGCCCGTGCTGGTGCTCAGGTCTCCTCTAGGGGCAAAGCGTGGCAGCTGTCACTGGGAGAGAGGTTGAAAGGCAGAGGCCGGGCAGGTTCAAGATGCTGGGGACCCTGGGGCTGGGCAGACAGTGGGAGGTAGGAGCACTGTGAGCTGAGTCCCCAGGCCCCGGGCACGGTCCACTGTGCCATGAGACTTCTCTTATAAAACACAGATTCAAAGATAAGATTATGAAGAATATCCAGAGGGTGAACAGCAATGGAAGAACATTAACCCCCCAGTATGGGGCCCTTCTGAGTCCGGGGTCCTGTGGGACTGCATTGGCCACCTACCCATAAAACCAGTTCTGGTGTCCCTGAGAGTAGATGAGAGACAGAACTGAAGGGCCAGCGCAGAGGTTTCCAGGGGGAGGTGTGGGGACCCCTGCAGTCCTGATAATAGTGAGGAAAGTCACTCCTGGATGCTCCTGGGGTTGCACATTTCAGGGAGCTGCAGGGACAACAGCCAATCCCACAGACCATTGTGTCCGGGAAGCATCCCAGGACCCAGAAGGCGGTAGAATCTGGAGGGACTCACCTCGCTAGACATGGGGAGTGAGACAGGAAAGGGACCCCTCAGTAGCCCCCCTGGGGGGTCAGAGAAGAAGGGGAGGGGGCAGGGTTAAAGAGAACGAAAGAAACCTCCAGCTTTCAACAAGGAAGAGCAGAATTTCACCCTGGAAGTGACTGGGTTTCTGTGACTCGATATTGTTACATTTATCCATCCCAAGTGCACTTGAAGAGCTTTGCCTTAAATACGGTTCACTGTAGAGATGGAAATGACCCCATTTATTTTTATAACCAAGATGGGTGCACCGTTGCCCTGCAGTGCTGTACCTCGGACACTGACACTCACCAGGGCTTACTCCAGGCCAGGCAAGGTGCTGAGCTTCGTACACGGTCATGTTGAATTGTCAAACAATGAATGGCATTGCCACTTTTTGGAAAAGGAAACTAAGACTCGGGAAGATGGAATGCCTTGGCTGAGGCCATGAGAGGTGCAATTCAAATGTGACGGAGTTAGGGGCACCTGGGGTGGCTCAGTCGGTTAAGCATCCCACTTCGGTTTAGGTCATGATCTCACGGTTTGTGAGTTCGAGCCCCGCGTCAGGCTCTGTGCTCAGAGCCTGGAGCCTGCTTCAGATTCTTTGTCTCCCTCTCTCTGCCCCTCCCTTGCTCGTGCTCTGTCTCTCTCTCTCTCTCTCTCTCTCTCAAAAATAAATAAACATTAAAAAAAATGTGGTGGAGCTAGAATCAAACCGTGGTCCCTCTGACCCCAGTGCCATACTTACCCCCACCTTGGATCCTAAACCTCTTTTTAGTCCTAACATTGTTTTGTGTGTTGCCTCTCTTTCTTGAGGTAGACATTTTGAGAGGGCACCAAAAGAAGAGGGAGTCGTCCGGTGAAAGTTCAGAGAAGTTCAGAGAAAGTTCAGGTGAGAGGCAGATGTGTGGTGGGGAAGAGGGACCCGATGAAGGTGGCCCTGAATTCTGGCCAGGCCGATGGAAGGACGGAGATAAGGAAGGCTGCGATGTCCAAGAAAGAACTTATGCGTCTCTGGCCTCAGAAGTGAGTCGTGAAGAAGCTGGGGACCTGTGTCCAAGGATTTGTCAAGAGCTGGGCGTGAACGTTCAGTCAGTAGCCAGCAGATGCTTTTCTCTAAGCAGCCATGGGTCGTCATCTTTTTTGGGTCATAGGCCTTTGAAAATCTAATAAAGGCAACTAACACTTTCTCTGTCTAAAAAAATATTATTATAATTTTGCACATGCTGACAGTGCGGAGCCTGCTTAGGATTCTCTCTCTCTCTCTCTCTCTCTCCCCCTAATGGGGCACCTGCATGGCTCAGTTGGTTAAGCGTCCGACTCTGTTTTGGCTCAGGTCATGATCTCACAGTTCGTGAGTTTGAGCCCCGCATCGGGCTCTGTGCTGGCAGCACGGAGCCTGCTTAGGATCCTCTCTTTCCTTCTCTCTCGGCCCCTCCCCTGCTCACTCTCTCTTTGTCAAAAATAAATAAATAAACTTAAAAAAGTAATTTTGCACATAGTTTCAAAGGGTCTACATACACCCAATCCTAAATCAATCTCAGATTTCCCTGCACGTCCAGAGGAATGGCGAAGCAAAAGTGCATCTGTACCCACTAATGTGAGAGCAGGGAGATCGGCCTTTGTCTGGGACAGCAGCCATTTGAGAAATGTATTTCTTGCTGCGGTGACAGAGAGGTAGGGGGGAACATGGTAAGGGGACCCTGCAGGGCCAAGAGCCTATATGGGGACCCAGGGCTTAGGACTTCCCTACAGTACCAGGCAGGGTCTCCCCTGTGGCCCCAGATGTCAAATTTTCTCAACACATCAGCACCTTCAGGGGAAGAATTGCATGTAGTGGCCAGGGTAACACGAAGGATTTTTCTCTTCTCTTCTAAATATGTTTGCTTTTTTTTTTTTTAATTTTTTTTTTAACATTTATTTATTTTTGAGAGAGAGAGAGACAGAGCATGAACAGGGGAGGGGCAGAGAGAGAGGGAGACACAGAGTCGGAAACAGGCTCCAGGCTCTGAGCCATCAGCCCAGAGCCCGACGCGGGGCTCGAACTCACGGTCCGTGAGATCGTGACCTGAGCTGAAGTCGGACACTCAACCGACTGAGCCACCCAGGCGCCCCTAAATATGTTTGCTTTTAAGTGATAAGAGCCCCGACTTCCCTCCCTGTGTGACAAAACAGGGCGTGCCACTTTGATCTGGGTCCTTCTCGTGTGTTTTCATCACGGATGAAGTTTCCTGGAAAGAGGCTCTGGGTCTGAGATTTTTACGCAGGACGTTTGTTGGGGATAGTGTACAGGACAACACATGTGAGGGGTTAGGGAAGCAGGCTTGGACACAGAGAGAAGACGAGCCGGGAGACAGTTCCCACAGGCGCCTCAGCCACTCATGCAGGGAGGGCAGGTGCCAGCATGGCCCTGTGGGACGGTCCCAAGGTAGGTGAGGGGCTGGGCCTTTGTACCCCTGCACTGATCAGTCATTGAATCTGGGAGCTGAGGCAGCCATCACCTCCGCTTCAGGCTGCCAATGGCCAACACTACAGGCAGCTGGGGGAATAAGGACTTGGTCCTAAAGTGGGGGAGGGGGGGACTCTGGGTACACCACAGTCTCTTTCTGACCTGGAAAAATAATCATTTGATTCATCCTGGGAAGACCAATTGCAAAAGCTGTGCTCCTGTTTCCCTCCTCTTTATGACCAGGTAGCTGCAACTATTGAGTGATGCTGTTCTAGAACTTACTAGAACCTCTGTTGTGATTCCACCTACCCCCCAGACAGGGGCAATCCAGGATAAAGAGAAGACGGTGCCAGAGTCATGCCAGCCGGGATTGTTCTCTCGCCCCGGATTCACTACAGAACTAAGAGTCCCCCATGCTGGTCCTCTCAGGCCATCTGGAGTTGGGAAAAGCAGACGGAAGCAAGGCCAGGCCCCCTGTCGACGGTCAGTAAGCAATGGACATTTGAAGCTGAGCCAGGGAGTGGGAGCCAGACTGGGGTGGGGGGGGTGCTGGCTAGCATCTGGGCTCAGTCTGTCTGGAGGAGGGGCTTGGGGAAGGCCAGGCCAGGCTGGGCTCTTTTGGGCAGCGACGCAGGTACAGAACGTGGACTTCTCGGGGTGCCTGGAACAGACCCAGCACAAGGCATTGACTCAAAACAAACAAGGCTCTTAAGATACTGATAAAAATAGTAACGGTGATGACAATGACGACAATAACAATAGCTAACATTTATTTTGGAGCTCCTTTGTGCCACCGGCCAGGCCACATAGTTTGCTTGAATTAGCTCCATTAATCCTCTTGACAGACCTATCAAGTAGATACTATTTTTATTCGCGCTGTACAGATGAGGGAACTTACCGTGAGAAGGCTAGTCGAGGGGCTCGAGTTACTTAGCGGGTAAGTGATGAACAGTTATTTAAACCCAGACAGTCCTACACTAGCCCTTCCCAACCCTTCTGCTTCTCATTACATGGGGCCTTCATTCCCCCCTGCCGTTCAGGCCTCATTCCCTAAGATTCCTCCTCCAGCTCTTATTCTCAAACTAACTATAACTAACGTATCAGCAAAGCCCCACAAGCATTGCCTTGAACCTTTCTCCTCAACGTGGCCCCTTAGCATTATCTCCCAACCACAAGTGTATCAGTCAGAGGTGCTAGGTTATGCCTCAGTGACAAACAGCCCCCATCTCTCAGCAGTTTAATTTAACGAAAGTTTATCTCTTGCTCTTGCTACACATGAACTACAGATACGTGGGGGCCTCTGCTCCATGTCATTCTCACTTATGGGCCCAGGCAGACGGGGTTTCTAGAATTCTAATGTCACCATGACATGGCCAAGAAAGGGAGAATCGTGCACTAGCTCTTAGAGGTTTCTACTTCTCACTTTTTATTGATTGAAGCAAACCACATGTCCACACCTAATTTTACCAGGGGGGAAGGGCAATTCTACCTCAGACCCGGGAGGAGACCTAGCGACACAGGTGGGCCACATATGTGCCCAGTCACTGGCGAGCCAGTCTCCATTCTCTCTTGCACAAAGACCTTGAACAGCTTCAAACTGGTCTCCTCACTTCCCCTCCCGCTCTTGCTCTATAATCCCTTATCCATGCAACAGCCAGAATGATCTAAAACATACATCAGATGACTTTACTCTTCGGCTCAAAGTCCTCAAATGGCTTCTATCACATTAACAAGAAAGGTAAAGGTTCTCATCCTGGCCTACGAGGCTCCAGAGCAAGGGTCAGCAAGCTGTCGCCCTCTGGCCACATCCAGCCCACCGCCTGTCTTTATCAATAAAGTTTTGGTGGAACAAAGTCAGTTTGCTGACTCCTATCTCAAAGGACCCGGACACTGCCTCCCCCCAGACTTTATTTCTCCTCGTTCCCCCTTGTACACTCCCTCCAGCCACACTGCACAGCCTGTGATTCCTGCAAGTACCCAGCTCACTCCCACCTAGGACCATTGCACACTCCGTCCTCCCACCATCCTCCTCCCTCACTTTTAACACAGCCCACTCCTCCCTGTCCTTCTGGCTTCTTCTCTGATAGCACCGGCTCAGGGAGTCCCGCCTGACCCCTTTCAATAGCAACCAGGCAAGCTCTTTAACCCCTTCTCCCCTCATTCGTCTCCAACCGAAATGATAGCACAGATGCTATTTATTTCCGTGTTTCCAGTCTTGCCCCTTATTAAGGTCTGTGAGGTCTTGGAAGTTTTGTATTGAGAGACCTGGAGTGGTCTCGGGACGTTGAGACAATCTTCTCTTCGCCTGTGCCTTCTGTGTCCCTCTTTTTTAAGCTGACGAGAGCCCTCCTGGGGAGGAAATTTTCAATTTTTGGCCTCAGCTCCAAAGAGAATATACTTCCATGAGATTTTCAAGATCGCTTTATGGCTGAGGATTTGAATTTTTGCATTTGAGGGTCAAGGACAATAGTGGTATTATTATGGCTTTTTAAAAAACACTTCAAGCAAATTCCGGTCATCTCTGGGAGGCAAACTTTGAACATCTCGGCAGTCCCCAAGGAGAACAATCTTCTGTAACTTTGAAGCCAAATGGGATTTCTGAAAAGGAAGCTACAGTCAATTGAAAACTCTCAGTGGAGCGTGAAGGGCAGAGGAGTCCCCGCGGTGGGCCGTAGCTGAGCTCGCCCAGGCTGGACGTGCCCTTCCCGGCTGGAGAGAGACCGCACAGACAGCACAGTAGGCGTGCTGGAGGCTGCACGGGCCTCCGACCCGAACCTCTGCTCGGAGACCAGCTCAGAAGACCAAGTATTTCTTCCTCAATCTTTGCTATGGGCTTGGCTGTTTTCAAATGACTTTAGGTGACTAAGACAGAAAGGACAGGCAAAAGAAAAACAAAGTGAGACTCTGCCCACCTTCTCCCCAGCAGAGATGCTCCGGGATATAGCAGAAACAAAGAGGTGAGGGACTGATGGTGGTGGGGGGGGGGGTTATGTGGGGGAGGGTGGTCTCCAGCGCCCCTGGCCCAGTCTTCCTGGAAGGAGCTCCCCAACTCTACCCTTCTCTGCTTGGCTGTGTGGCAGGAGATGCAGGTGTGCCCAGATGTCCTGCTGTCTGTCTGCTGGCCCGCCTTCCTTAGCTTCCCTGGCACACTCACGTGACCTGCTGCCATTCACACCCTGGGCTGCCTGCTCAGGTGCTGGGGTTCTGGGCCCCTCCGTGCAGTCCTCTGTGCTCCGCCCTGCCTCACCCCAGGTGATCCCATGTGCCTCCGGTTGAGTAGTAAAGTTCAAGCTTAGCTTAGCATTCCGGGTCATTTACAGTCTGTGTCCAAGTTCACTTGCCCTTTCTCTCCTACATAAACCTACACTGTGTTTTACCAGTTGGACGTCCAGCTGTTTCTCAAAGATTCTGGCACTGACCTATTCCCTGCTTTGGTTTATGTCCTCCCCAATTCCCTGGCGTCTCCTGCTTCTGCCTATGGGAGCATAAGCAGCCCCACACCTGATTCCACGTCACCTCCCCCGTGACAATCGGTCTGGTCTTTGGGAGCCCCACCACGGGGTCTGCCTAACTGCAGCTACACGCACCTTCTCCCTTCCTAGCGACTCCAAGGGAACAGGATGTGGCTTGCTCGTCTTTATTCTACTCCCCTCTGCTGGCCCTGTGCTGTTTCTGGTGCAGACGGTGGGTCAGAGGGTGTTCATCAAATACACGGACTACTGAGTTACACAAAGATGTAAATGACTGATAAGGGTTTGTGTGGGGGCTTTTCAGAAAGCTTGTTGTCTCTGAGGTGGGGGGTGAAGGTGGCACAGGACGAGGGGTCGGGGAGAGGGAGGAAACCTAAGCCTGGGCAGGCACACTGGTGCGGTGATGGATTGATTAGGGTAAGTGATGGAGGTAACTGACTGGGATTGTCCCTCGAGGGCTGTGCCAGGGGACTGGGAGTTTCTGCCATTTCTGCTCCGGGGCTGATGAATATTCACATCTCTGTGGAAGGTCTCAGAGAGAAGGGAGGTGGGCAGGTCTTGGCCTCAGGGATCGTTATGAGAAAAGCCTTTGGAGGGGGTGCGCGCACCTGCTCAGACTCTGGCAATTCTCCTTCGCTGGCCCTCTGACGCCCTGAGTGTCCTTCCTTGTGGGCTGAGTGACTCAGGACTCACCTCAATGGCCTGTGCCACACGTGGTGGCCCATCCTGGTGCCCTTGTACTGGGACCCTCTGCCCCTGTGTGATTGTGAAGCACAGCCTCCACCCCATCCTGAATCCTTTCTGTGTCCTATTGACCTGACCTTCAGCCACGCCCACACTGGCCCCAACCACACCCATACTTGGACCCAGACGTGCTCAGGGTCCCCCCCTTGACTGCAGCCCTTTCTTCAGGCACCATGCTACAGTCTTGTCTCCTGAAAAGCTCACCTGGATGTGTTTCCAATCCAGGATGGTTCCAATGTAGAAGTCCTACCGAACTTCAGGGGCTGCTGTGCAGAAGGAAGAAGAGAACTGTTGCTGAGTCATGGAGGACAGCAGGGAGGGAGAGGAATTGGTGGGAGAGGGGCTGTGGCAACCAGGGGTAGAGTGATGCTCCCGGGCAGGCTGGACCCACTGCCCCTGCTGGGGGCTTCAAATCATTGACCTCCCAGCAGAGGAGGGCACGGAGGCTGGTGCTGCCCCCAGGCTACCTCCACGGTACAGGAAGAAGGCAAGGAGAAGAAAGAACCCTGATCCCAGAGCAACAGCTTGAGGTCTCCCTAGGTGCACGCCAGTCCACACGGGTGCCAACCTCACGTTCTGGTGAGAGCTTCCCAAATACCTCGGGCTGCCTCTCTCCCCCGGCCTCCGCCCGCCCTGCCCACTGCGCATCCTTCTCTCGTCTTCTCGTCTCTCGTAACAGCTCTGTCTGTTGCCTTCTCCACAAAGGCACCCTTCCCGTGGCTGCCAGAAAATCTCTCGAGGTGGAAATCTGCTCACATATCTCCCTGCCCACCGTCCACCATGGGCTTCTGCCTGCCTGGGGGGAAAAAACCCCTGTCCTTATCTGGGTGAACCAGGGCCCTCCATACTCTGTCCTGCCCGGAAGCACATTTCTCTCCCTCCCCTCCGGTCTTACAGCCCAAGCCCTGTCACGCCAACCTTCTCTGCATTCGGGGAACGCAGTATATCCTTCCCAAACTTCTCCCTTGGCACATGCTGTGCCCTCTTTCTGGAATGCCCTTCCCTTCTGCCTTGGGCAAGGGCAGAGGTGGCAGGGAGGAGGTTTGGATATCCCATGGAGTTTGGGCTGGATCCTTTTGCCTGGTGATTCTCAAACATTGTCACGTGACAAAGCTCCTATAACACACCGGTCCTTTTCAGGACACCACAGACTCTTGATACTTTTAAGAGACAGGCCTCTTTGATACAGGACTGCCATGTTCCTTAGGCACACACAGCTCTCGACACATATATGATGTTTTTAATAAAACACACTTCCAAGTTGTTCACATGATGTGTTCTTTTCATTTGCACAGTAATTTTCTAACGTGCCTGGGTTAGCAAACTGTAGCATGTAGCTGTGTGAATCTGTTCAACTCGGTGAGCCCTGAGTTCCTTTTCCTGTACGATAATGAGAGCAATTTCACAAGGATTGAGCAGATGAAAGCTGCTGGTGCACGCACGAGGAGTCCGGGACGTGCCAACAGCTTTTCTCCCCATCTTCTTCCCCATACATGACCCACGGGCCCCTTTGCTCCATATGCACTGTGACCCACAGCTCCTGGCTGGGACCTTGGTTTGGTCCTGTGGCACATATTCAATGTTTTCCTGTGTCCAGTATTCACTTCCTTTTTTTTAAAATACATTTTTAAACTTTATTTATTTAAAAAAAATTTTTTTTTCAACGTTTATTTATTTTTGGGACAGAGAGAGACAGAGCATGAACGGGGGAGGGGCAGAGAGAGAGGGAGACACAGAATCGGAAACAGGCTCCAGGCTCTGAGCCATCAGCCCAGAGCCTGACGCGGGGCTTGAACTCCCGGACCGCGAGATCGTGACCTGGCTGAAGTCGGACGCTTAACCGACTGCGCCACCCAGGCGCCCCAAACTTTATTTATTTTTGAGAGAGAGAGAGAGACAGAGCACAAGCAGAGGAGGAACAGGGAGAGAGGGAGACACAGAATCTGAAGCAGGCTCCAGGCTCCGAGCTGTCAGCACAAAGCCCGACGCTGGGCTCGAACTCACGAACTGGGAGATCATGACCTGAGCCGAAGTTGGACCCTTAACCGACTGAGCCACCCAGGCACCCCTCTACTTCCTTTCTTAATGGCACCCAGTATCTTTATGAGGAATCCTCTGCTTGGGTGGAGGGTTGAGAGAGGCTGATACGAGCTTCCTGCCTCCCGCTGGGGCAACCGTTCAGTGTTCTCTGTGCTGGCAGGTGCGTCTACTGAGGGAGCCACACTGATTCTCTACTTTGTCACTGTTCTAAGATTCTCAGACTTGTTTTTTTCTGTATGAGGCAAAGTTCAGAGAATGGCTGAGACTCAGGAACTCCCACAAGTGTGCCATAGATATCACCTTGGGAGGTTCTAGAGTAGTCTAGGTCTAAAGTGGTCAAGAACCCCTGGGTTCTCACAAGTCATGGGGAGGCAGGTTAAAGGTCTAGAAAGTTTTGCAGACTGATTCCTAGGGCTTATTTTGGTTCCTGAGGTGCTGTGCTCTTTGACGTCACTCAGGGAGGAAGTCCACGTTTGCAACTTATATATGGTGCTTCCCTAAGAGGCATGAGCCACTATGAGCCACTCAGAAGCCACATGCAGAAATCCTCAGCAGCAGTCCAGGGCAAGCAGGGACCCTGGTGAGAGAGCAGCTGCAGCCACAAACAGGGACAGAGACCCAGGGGAGACCTGGGAGCGTCAGTGTCCACCCACCCGCAGGCCAGGCACATCTGTATGGTTCTGGAAGTACAAGGTGTATCTCTAAGCCTCTATTTCTTCATCTAGAAAGTGGGCCTCATATTTGCTTCTTTGGACGGCACTTGATAAATGTGGCCCCCTTCCCGTTTGGGCAGATACCAGCAGAAGAAGAGAGAGGAAGGTTCTGGGGTGATAGTTCTGGCATCTGCTATGACCAGGAGAGAGCAATTAGATCAAGGAGACAGGACATTCGCGAAAAGATTTGCACTGAGGGCAGGGAAACTGAGCAGTAAGACAACGGACTTGGAACCAGAGTGTGAGCGCTGCAGACTGGGGACCCAAGACTGTGCCCCCCTGGCCCCACGTTCCTGCTCCCCAAAGCTGATGCCTGTGGGGGTGCGTCGTGGGCGTACATAGGGTGGGCGCGCGGAGGTAGGTGATCAGAGCAAACCCGTGTTGGGAAATTCTTCCCCTAAATAGCTGTTTCTGGTGGACTTAACTGCTCAGAAGAATTTAGTTTCAAAGTTTATTCAAGATGTGATTATGTTATTTTCATATAATCTCTTTCTCGGAGAGTCCCCGTGAAAGAGGGCTAACTGGACGCTCTTCGTTTGTCGTAAGAATACTCAAAAGCAGGTGGAACCAGCTGGCCTTTGGCTCGTTGGCACGGGGCTCAGGCAAGGGCTGCACCCCTGATTGGGTCTGCCTTGCCACACCTGCCCAGAGAGAGGGAGGGTGCTGGTGGCCGCCAGCCCACGCTGGGACCCAAGAAGTTTATGAGGGAAGAGGCAGGCCTGGCTCCTCTTCTCCCTTGTACTCCACCCTGCTCTTGGGAGGCAGTGAGTGGCCTGCCCTCAATCAGCCTTTGGCCTCGCTCTCAGTTTCCATTTCCCTTTCTGACAACAGCAGCCAATCTCCCAGAAGAACAGAGATGAGTTTCTAATGCAAAACAGAATCTGCTTGAAGCAAGTCCAAAGTGATTTTCCAGTCCCTGTCTTTCATCAGGCAGGGGAAAGGCGTCCATGTCAGGGGACCAGAGGTGATGCCAGACGCATGGGTGTGGGAGGGGTCTTCTCAGGTCAGAGGGGAGGCTTGGCAGGGAGCATGGGCATCAGAGCAGGCTTGCCCAGAAGAGGGTGGGGCGGATGGCCGCCTTGTGTCCCTGGTTCTGACCCCCATCATCCGCTCTCCTTTTATGCCATCAGGGCTGTTCCGACCGGCCAAAATTGAGGGGGTCCTGGTGGCCTCCAGTATGCCGTCCCAAAGAGGTGCTGCCATTCAGCCCCCGGGGCAGGCTCCCGCCTGCTTGAGAGCCAGTCCTGACCCAGGAAGGCAGTGAGGAATCTGCACCAGGCAACCCAGGACCATGCACAAAAATACAGAACCTCCCAGCTTCTTACATCCTCACCTTGGAGATGGAAAAGAGGTGGCCTCTTGCTCGAAGGAAGGCAGGAATGGAGACCAGGGGGTGCGTGGACACCAGGGCTCAGCAAGAAGGACAGACATGGCCAAAATGATGAGGGGAAATGCTCCCCTAGGAGAGCGGAGTGCATGGAGGAGGAAACACATTTGGGAAATTTCCCAAATGCGTGCCTTCTCCCTGCACTGGTGACACTGGCCCCGACAGTATCTTGCGATTGTCTTAATTTCATACTATGGAAGAGGAGGAGATTTACTCTCATGTGTCCTTCTCTGTCTCCCAATGTTTACTGTAGTGTTATTTTTATATTGTCAATGTTCATAAAATTTAATTTCTCACACCTCTTTTGACCTCATTTTGTATTTAGAAGGACGTGGTGTCCACTCCAAGCCCCTTGACAGTGTATTTTTTTTGTTGTCTTGTTTTCTTCTTTCTTCTTTTTTCCAGATGAGGGCTGGCTCTGTCTTCTCAGCAATGTCTGCAGTGGGAAAGTGGCCGTAAGAAATGGCAATCGGATGGCATTGCCAGAATGGAAAAGGCAAACTCAGGTACCTGTGACGTGACAGGAAGTGGATGAGCCAACCGGGGCGATCATCCACAGTCCAGATTGGAATGAGCAAATGAGACATACTGATCCCTCATCAAATCATGGCTCTTTGGGTCATGATCAGTAAAATGAAGAAAGGTTACAAGGCAACCATGACAGATTTCCTCAATGTCAGCGATGAGAGTAATGGAGGAGACTAATGGACTAAGGGCACCAGCAGCAGCCTTTGCAGTTTGACTACAGTACAACTGGCCACACTGGGAAGGAGCCAGGGATGGACAAAGCAGCTGATGGCGCCAGTGCCCATCCTGGATACAGCCCTACCTCCTTATCCTCTTCTGCATCTTGTTACTGGTTGTTCAGAGAAAGTGGAGATAGTTCTCACCCTTTGAGAAAAAGTGTCATCAAAAGGTAAAAGGCACTGGTATTCACTTTGATACCTTCCTAGTGATTTTACTTTTTAAATGAACAGACACAGGGGTGCCTGAGTGGCTCAGTCAGTTAAGTGTCTGACTTCGGGTCAGGTTATGATCCCTCAGTCGTGGGTTCAAGTCCCACGTCAGGCTCTGTGCTGACAGCTCAGAGTCTGGAGCCTGCTTCGGATTCTTTGTCTCCCTCTCTCTCTGCCCCTCTCCCATTCCTTCTCTGTGTCTCAAAAATAAATAAATACTAAAAAGAAATTTAAAAAAAGAATGGACAATGATGTCTGGTTTGGATTCTAAATTCCATGTGCTTTTTTTTTTCTACTGTTTACTGTTTATTTATTTGAAAGAGAGATAGAGAGATTGAAAACAGGGGAGGGGCAGAGAGAGAGGGAGACAGAGGATCTGAAGCAGACTCCGTGCTGACAGCGGAGAGCCCAATGCAGGGCTCAGACTCACAAACTGTGAGATCGCGACTTGAGCCTAAGTTGAAAGCTTAACTGAGCCACCCAGGCGCCCTGAGGTTTTTTGTTTTTTGTTTTTTATTTATTTTGTTTTGTTTTATTTAAGAATGTCTTTTTTACCGCTTTTATAATTTAATAAGACTTAGCTGTTGGAGGTATAATTATTTTCTCCAGCACATTGGAGAAATACTCTTATCATCTAACAGTTATTGTAGCTGTGGGACACGCAGTATTCATGACTTGTGTTTTCCATTTCTTGGATTGAGGTTTTCTATATTTACCCCTTATATTCAATTTCTTAAGAAAGCTCTGTCTAGCTTTGCAATTATTTTATTGCTTACATGTTATGTGTTTTTTATATGCAGATTAAGATTTTCTTTCATTTCAGGAAATCAAAATTTTTTTTATCTTCAAATACATGTTTTTGTTCATATTTTGTGATTTCTGAGACATTATTTTTTTCCTGGTTGTATTGCCTTTAACTGTGATCTTCTTCCTAATAACATTTATCTATTTTCATGAAATCTTTAATATATGTCAGTAGTTTGACTTTAAGTGAAATGCCCTATAAAATCCTGATTACTATTCTCAGAATTATTCAAAGAATATATTATGATATTGCATCCACAAACCATGACAAAAAATATCCCCACTTTATATGGAAAACTTCTGTGTCTTAGTAGAGGGCATGAAAGCATATACAGAAGTTAGAATATTATTATCCCCAAACTTCAAAA